CTGCAGGGTGGTGGGCTAGAGGAGAAATTGACCCCTTATTAAAAGTAGATTGCAAAAGATTTATGCCTACATCCTGGGTGTTGACCTCTGACCTCTATACACATGTGCCACGGTACATACAACCCCCCCCCCACACACACACACGGGGGTGGGGGTGCTGTTTCAAATGTGTGAAGAAATAGTACTTCAGTGTGTGTATCTTTGGATAGAAATCTCTACATACCTTTGCTTGGAAAATGAAGGCAGTCTCTTTTGTGATTTCATCCAACCACGAATCGAAGGATAAAAATATGCTCACAGAGCCCCAGGCTCCAGGTTCTGTGGTTCTCTTTTCATGTTTCTTCAGATGTTCTTGTTGGCCATTCTCACCCTGAACCCACCAAACACCTCATGGCAAGGTTCCCTCCCTTCAAGGCTCATTCAGACACCACCTTTATCCAGTGAATTGTCTCTGGGCCTCCCTCGCCACTCCCTCCCTGTATTATCTTGAAACAGCTCAGCACCCTGATTGCTGGGGTAGCAAGGGATCCAGTTTTGTGGTCCCCGAGCACCTCATAGCTGCCTAGTGAATGTGTTTATTCACTCAGCAAGCACTGCTTTCCCCCTGCTGTCTCCAGAATTGTGCTGAAATGGAGGTCCTGGTGAATTCTAGATTTACCCGTAGAGAGTCCCAGCACTCAGGAGGCAGAAGCTGGCAGATCTCTGAGTTTGAGGCCTGCCTTGGGATAGCTCTTTCCCTGTTCTGGGCCTCTATGCTCTAGGACACACATAGCTTTATGACCCCCACCTTTACCACCACTGAGGTAGTCATGTAGCCTGGTGGCCAAATTACAAGTTTTTTGTTTGTTTGTTTGTTTTGTTTTTCAAGACAGGATTTTTCTGTGTAGCCCTGGCTGTCCTGGAACTCACTCTGTAGACCAGGCTGGCCTCAAACTCAGAAATCCGCCTGCCTCTGCCTCCCAAGTGCTGGGATTAAAGGCGTGTGCCACCACTGCCCGGCATGGACTGCACTTTTGCAGATGAGGTGGTGAGGGTGTTGGCTGGGAGGCCCACAACCTGACTTTGAACCCAGCAGCCTGGGTGGTGGAGGGGAACTTGCTCTTGCAGGTTGTCCTGGGTGTATGTAAGCACACACAAACACAAGTTATCAAATAATGCAAAATAAGCACAAAAACAAAAACAAGCAAAGCTTAAGTCCATATGTTTAATAAGCCCCAATTCCAGTTGTGCAGCTGTTTCCAGGTGCCCACTCCCTCCCAGATGTGCAGCTGTTTCCAGGTGCCCACTCCCTCCCAGATGTGCAGCTGTTCCAGGTGCCCACTCCCTCCCAGATGTGCAGCTGTTTCCAGGTGCCCACTCCCTCCCAGATGTGCAGCTGTTCCAGGTGCCCACTCCCTCCCAGATGTGCAGCTGTTTCTAGGTGTCCCCTCCACTGCTTGCTGCTGAAAGGCTAAGTGTGGAGCAGAGAGAGCAGTTGGGTAGAAATCTGAGTTCTAGTCCCAGCTCTAGGTTTGTTTTGCACACTAAGTGACCTCAGGTAGTCATTGGAAACAGCATGACCTCTTCCTGGATGGGCTGTTACATGTAAGTAACATGCTTGTGGAACACTCAGCACAGGACCAGAGAGCACTCAGCAGAGAGTCAAAGAGCACTCAGCACAGGAGCAGTGAGCACTCACCACAGGAGCAGTGAGCACCACTCAGCATAGGGTCAGTGAGCACCACTCAGCACAGGAGCAGTGAGCACTACTCAGCACAGGAGCAGTGAGTACTCAGCACAGGGCCAGTGAGCACCACTCAGCACAGGAGCAGTGAGTACTCACCACAGGAGCAGTGAGCACCACTTAGCACAGGAGCAGTGAGCACTCACCACAGGAGCAGTGAGCACCACTCAGCACAGGAGCAGTGAGCACTACTCAGCACAGGAGCAGTGAGCACTACTTAGCACAGGAGCAGTGAGCCCCTGGAAGATGTTTGGTTAATGGTGAGGGCTCTGAGGAAAAATTGGTTATCAGATGGAATGAGGCTGGTTGTCGCTGATATGTGAATTCTAGTCCTCCCTGGGCTTTAGTTTCTTTCTATAATCAGGTATCCACAGTGTCATCTCACTGCACAGGCTCTGTGCTGTGGATGCTGTGAGAAGGAGCAGGGGGATGTCAATGTCTTTCTCTGAAGGATGAACCTGGACCAATGTTTTGGTCTAGAGACCCTGAGGCCTGCAGCTTGGGTAGGATGTCTTAAAGGACACCACTGCCCTCTAATGGCCACAGCTGACTCAACAGTTGGACTCTGGCTGGCTTCCACCTGGCCTGAAGGAGGGTAAGGCCCTGGCCGATCAGTGACTTCCTGGCAAGGCGAGCTTTCTTGATAAATGTAGTTGTGAGAGTTGGTTTGAGTAAAGAATGCTGACCCTTTGGAGATTATAAACAATTATCCACATACATCTTCAGGAGGGAGAGGACCAGATTTGCCTTACTTCCTGCTCACATGTGGTATGTGGGGCCTGTCTGATCGTTTAATTTCCTTTAGAGTCCCCATTTGAGTGGAGAACTGAGCTGTTGATTCTGTGAGGTTGAAATTCAATGTGCTGAGGCAAGGTATGGTGGTTCATGCTTCCAGGAGTCTCAGCGTTCGACAGGCAAAGGGGTAGATCTCTGTGAGTTCAAGGTACACACAACAAGTTTAGGTTAGATAGGGCTAGATTCATTGAAAACAAACAAAAGACAAACAAATTCAGTGAGCTTCAAACCTTGCAGGGCCAGGGGAAATGGGGATCAGTGAATGACAGGAGAAGGGGGAAATGCCTCTGCTAAATAGGAGACTCAGATAAAGCCACAGGAGATACCTGCCATATCTCCCATCCACTACTGAACAGCATCCACTCAGGTGTAACTGAGTATAAGCAAAGATCTTTGTACCCTGAGTGCACGTGACCTCTTGTTTCGGGGATTTGAACCTGTTTCTAGTTGTGGTGTGGCTCAGCTCTTAGCACACACCTTTACTTCCTCTGGCTGGAATACAGTTGTGCCTTGAGTACAAGCCTTAATCCCAAACAATGAAGGTAAAGTTAGTTTGTAAGAAGAAAGTACCCAAGGGCTGGAGAGATGGCTCAGCAGTTAAGAGCACTGATTGCTCTCCCAGAGGTCCTGAGTTCAATTCCCAGCAACTACATGGTGGCTCACAACCATCTTTAGTGGAATCCAATGCCCTCTTAAGACAGCTACAGTGTACTCATATAAATAAAGTAACTAAATGTTTTAAAAAAGAAGGAGCACCCATGTTTGAAAGTGATCTCTAATTGAGTGGCAGACATCATCATCTGATTCATGATAAATCAGAGAAATATTTGACAGTAGGATCAGCCCAACTCTCACAAGGACAGGCTACTTAAGAGAATGCAGCACACACAGAGAGGGGAAGGAGGCAGTTTTACTTCTAGTTTTATAAAGACATATTTAAGATAGAACAAGTAAGATACATTCAAAGACAGAATGAGCTATAGAATGAGAAAGAGCCAGATGATTAGAAAAGATTGCTAGAGTTAGTTTGAGGCCAAGTAGAGGAATTTAGAGACCAAGAGAAAAGACAGATCTAATAAGTCAGCTGGGAAAGGAGTTTGAGCCTGAACAACTGAGTTGAATCAGCCAGCCAGAGATCAGGAAGAACTAGGAAGGGTGAGCTTATTCAACAGTAATTCAGAGACTGAAAACATATTAGGCCTAGATAAGATTGTACGGAGTCTAGAAGCTTCCAGAACTAGACCTAGGTTAGCAAACGAAGGCAGTAAGCCTCCCAGACAACAATTAAAACAGGAGAATAAAAGTTACATTTATACCTGCCTATAGATTTTCTTATCATTTGTGGCTGCTGGCTTTTACAACAGTCATCTTTCATAAGACACAGGTCATCACTCAGAAGAGGACCTTACTAAAGCACATTAAAGCTATAGGGCAGTATGTGAAGACCCAAACCAGCACCTAAGGGGCAGCTCTGCTGTAGAATACAAGGCCCATTAGGAGCAGTATTCAAAGGGCTCTATCTTCTGCTCAGATTGTGTTTCCTGTAAATCTCAGTCCTAAATCTATAGCCTACAAAATATTAGATTATAGTGGTTTAGAGTTGGATGAGAAACTCAATGTTTATTTCTCAATCTCTAGACTTGGCAACAATAAATAAAACAATGAAATGGGATAGTTTGTGTTAAAAACTCATACAGCTCGGCATGGTGGTTTACACCTGTAATCGTAGCTTTTGGGAGGTGGAGGAGGAGTTCAAGGGCATCCTGGGTTACACAGCTAGCTTGGGACCAACCTGGATGACATGAGACACTGTCTTAAAAAATCCTAAACCTGGGCTGGAGAGATGGTTCAGAGGTTGAGAGCACTGGCTATATTTCCAGAGGACTTGGTTTCGATTCCCAGCACCCATATGGCGGCTCACAAACATCTGTAATTCTAGATCCAGGGGCTCCAATGCCCTCTTTTGGCCTCTCTGGGCATCAGACACTGGAGTGGTACGGAGACATACATGTAGGAAAAACGCTTATACACATAAACAACAAACCAATCAAATGCAAAAAAACACCATTACCACCACCTAGTACTAAAACCGCAACCGACTCAAACTCATGCAATCGCAGCATTTGGGAGGTGGAGGCATGAACATCTGGAGTTCAGCAGGGTTAACCTCAACTATACAGAGTTTGAGGCCAGCCACACACGGGACCTTTTCTCAAAAAGAAACACAAAACTGACATCCAAACACCAAACCAAACCAACGTCATATTCCCTTACAATGTGAGAATTCATCATTCCGCAGGTGCTCTCTTGCCAATAGTAAACATGGCAGCTTGGCACTCTCTTTTCCTCGAGTTAACTTAATAGTTGCCAATAGTCAACATGGCCGCCCATTCTACATTCCCATTGGTCGTTTCTCTAAAGGTAGGCGGGAGTTGATGCGCCTGTGTGTGGAGCTGCGCCTGCGCAAGTCATTGGCGCCAAGATGGCGTTGGAGATGAGGCTCCCTAAGGCTCGCAAACCTCTCAGTGAGAGCTTGGGCCGCGACTCTAAGAAGCACTTGGTGGTGCCGGGGGACACGATCACCACGGACACAGGCTTCATGCGGTACGTGAGGATTTGGGGGTTCCAAGACCTCAGGAGGCGGCTGCAGAGCTATCTGCACGTGGCCTGTTGCCCCGGAACCCAGACCTCCTGTCCCCTTGTATCTAAGTCACCGAGGTACCCGGGACACATCGGAGCATCCATACTAATCCCCTTCTTTCCGAGCCTCATGCTTCCGCCTCCCAGCACCTTGGGTGCTCCTCTGTCAGCACCTGATCCCCTCCTTTGATCTGTGGCGTTCGGAACTTTTGGGCCCTTAGCCTGAAACTCAGGATTTTTGAGCCTTCCTGGGGAGGGAGAACTGGGGAGGGCTAGGAGCAGAGCCCTTCTTACAACCCTCTGAAGGGACAGTGGGTGTTGCTGGCTTGATCATCTCCTGTGTTACCTCAGGGACAAGCCTGACTTTGAAGCAGTAATTTTGGTGGGGCGGGGGTTGAGGCAACATACTGTATTAAATGCAACCAACAAAACAAACTTAGCACGGAAAGACAACATGCTGTGGTAGTTAGGGCCGGTTTTGGAGTCGGACAACTGCCATTGTTATCCGTAGCCGTAGCACTTTGTTAAGGCTGGTATCCTTACCTGGAAGACAGTGGTGACAACAGGAATTCATAGGGTGGAGAGTATTAAACAACTGAAAAGTAGGTCAGGAAAGCAAAACCCACCATTGTATTACCACCAAAGATAAATCTGCATTAGGTACCCAGTCTCCCCACTGTTCTCTCCTGCCCCAGTGCCCCTGCCGTCTTCCAAGACAGGGTCTCACTATGTAGAAGTGACTGTCCTGGAACTTACTGTGTAACTGCTTGGTTCAGAACTCAAGAGATCCACCTGCTCCTGCCTCCCAAATTCTGAACTCAAAGGTGTGGCCGGCAGTGGCACCTGGTTTTCTTTCTTAGAGTTTAAGGAATTAGATGGCAGATATCTTCGGATTCCTTCTTTCATACTTGCAGCATATGTTCAACATAGTCTGTGTGGTTGGGCTACCAAAGTGAAAACCCGTGTCCTGGTAGAGTTTATGCTCTAGTAAGGAACAGAAACAGTATATGCCACAAGAAAGTTGTAAATGCAGCAGAAGGGGGAGAACAGGGGTGCACTGGGAATGGGGTGGGCTAGGAGCAGTTGGGGAGGGCCCCTGTGTTGCCTGGGATGTGCAGGTAGGTTGTTGGAAAGTGACGTTTGAGCACATTTCTTTAAGATGGAGATGTCCATGTGGCTCTTTGCGGAGTGTGAGGCTCAGGCGGTGGGGGGGGGGCGGCAATTAGGTTCAAGAACCATGTTCGAGATGGGAGAGATCACCTCCACTGTGACACTGGTGTCCTTTCTTTGTGGTCTTGTCCTTGCACAGGGGCCATGGGACATACATGGGGGAAGAGAAGCTCATTGCATCTGTGGCCGGCTCTGTGGAGAGAGTGAACAAGCTGATCTGTGTCAAAGCCTTGAAAACCAGGTGAGGACAGAAGGTGTGTATCTCTGTCTCGGAGCATCTGGGTTGTACACAGGCCTTTTCCATCTCGCCATGTCATCGCCGGTCATTCCTGTCACTGCTATGTTGAATGTTCCCGTTTGTCACAGTTAGTCCCAGCAGCCAACTTGACACAAAGTTAGAGTTACCTCGTGAATGGGAAGCTAAACTGAAGAATTGCCTCCATTGGAGGCCTGTGGGCATGTCTGTGGCAGCATTTTTTTAATTGGTAATTGATGTAGGAGGACCCAGCCCACTGTGGGCAGTGGCATCCTGGGCAGATGGGCCTGGGCTGGGTAAGATTGGGCATTGTGGCGCATGCCTTTAATCCTAGCACTTGGGAAGGAGAGGCAGGCAGATCTCTGTAAGTTCCAGGACAGCTTTGTGTGTGTGTGTGTGTGTGTGTGTGTGTGTGTGTGTGAGAGAGAGAGAGAGAGAGACAGAGAGACAGAGACACAGAGAGAGAACCTAAACCTGGGAAGCAAACCAGCACGCAGTGTTCCCCCACAGACTCTGCTTCAGTTCTGGCCTCCAGGTTCCCGCTTGGCTGTCCCTGATGATGGAGTGTAATCTATAGGCCAAATAAACCCTTTCCTCCTCAGGTTGCTTTTGGTTGTAGTATTTGTCACTGCAACAGAAAGGAAAGGAGGACACCATGTGGAGGGTGAGCTTCAAAGGTTTCCTCCTGTCACTTGATCCCTCCAAGCCTAGGGTTTCTTTCCTTTTCTGCATCATAAAGAAAATAACAGCCTCAGGATTGTCGTTAGAATTCAGTGACATGCTACGCGTAAAGTACAAACTCAGGGTAGAGTACCTAGAAGAAGCCCATAAAGGTTAGTCCAGCAGGGAAGCCAGTGAGCTTGGGGCTGAATAGTCAGGTGAGCCAGGGCTGCACTGGGCAGGTGGTCACCCTGCCTGGCAATGACAGTGAAGATTTGGGTTTCAAATTGTGTTAATTGGGAAGCCCTTGGGAGGAATCAAACAGAAGAAAGCTATGATTTGACATATGTCTTAATTATTTGTCGTGGTTGCCATGGAGACAGTGAAGTGGGACAGGGCATGTTTACGGAGCCAGACTAGGGGACTGTATTCATCTGACAAATGACCAAGTGATGGTGTTGCAACCCTCAGCAATGGCTAGCTCCTCTGTCTACTTTGTTTGCCTTCCTTGAAAGGGTGCTGCAGTAACTGACGTGTTTAAGGATAGTTAACAGAATGAATAGAGGTGGATTTAGTTCCTAGTTTCCAGTCTGGATGCCTTTGTTTCCCTCATACATTTTAAGGTGCCCACAGCAGGATTTGTCCTCGGCTCATCCTAGACTGTGACAGGAATCAAGGTTTGGGCCTAAGCATGGGGTGAGGTGAACACTGAGCTGGGGATGAATGGGAGAGAGCAGTTTGCTGTGGGGAAGGGGAAGCAGCTGCTGGCAGTGTTGGCCTTTCGTTTGTTATCTTTACGTTTGTGTGGCTGTCAACATCCGATAGCTTTGACTCTACCTCCCAAGCACTGGGATTATGGATAATTCCCTACCATTAAAACTTGGTGAGCTCACTGTAATTGAAGGAGCTATGAGCAGAAAAGAGACACAGTCCAATGCCTGGGCCTTAACTAAGAGCATTTCGCCCTTGGAATCAGCATGAGGATCCAGCAAAGTGTCTGACCAGGCAGGTAGTGTGGAGATGTAACAGCTTGCAATGAGCCATTGCTTTAAGGATTGCTAATCAAATATACACAGAGAGATTCTGAAGTTCCCAGGTCTAAACAGTAATTATACCCATTTGCTAAAAAAGAAGCTTATGAAGTCTCTTCTGTTTGTTTGGCCTCAGACACTGCTTGGTCTGGCCAGCCCGCCCGCCGGCAACTGGGTAAGCTTCTGTTCTCTCTTGCAGATACAATGGAGAAGTCGGAGACATTGTAGTGGGGAGAATCACAGAGGTAAAGTCAGTGTTTCAAACTGAAGGAGACTGGTGGCTAGGGATGGGACCTTCATCCTGTGAATGTCTGAAGAAGGAGCCCTTTTTCTGGGGTGATGTGAAACGCTATCCTGTTTCTTTCCCTCACAGGTTCAACAGAAGAGGTGGAAGGTGGAGACCAATTCCAGGCTGGACTCTGTCTTGCTCCTGTCATCCATGAACCTGCCTGGAGGAGAGCTGGTAAGCGCCCGCCCGCCCGCCCTGGAACTGTCTACCTGAAAGGTCGACTTTACAGGAGGCCGTTATTGTTTTGTTACGGAGTCTGCTACTTTGGTGAACACAGCGGCTTTTCTCCTGGCCCTGTGCTCTCAACACGGGCAGCAGCTAGTGTACTGTGGTAAGACCAGAAACACCTATGGAGTGGGCTCCCAGAAGGGAGGTGGGAAGAGGCTCCTGGATCTTAGTATCTTAGTGCTGATTTCCTTTCTTGGTGTCTCAGCTTTGTACAGGGAAGGCGTCTCTTGAAGGTTTTGCCTTAGCTTGCTTGCTTGCTTGTTTTTGTTGTTGTTTTTGGAGTGTGCGGTGGGTGGGGTTGAGACAAGATTTCTCTGTGTAGCCCTGGTCTGGAACTCACTATGAAGACCAGGCCTGAAACTCACAGATGTCTGCTTGCCTTGACCTCTCAAATGCTGGGATTAAAGTTGTGTGTCACTATGCCCTGCTTGTCCTTAGTTTTCAGTAACTTGAATGGCACTGGGTTAATGCAGACAGTGACAGCCTTTTGCCCATACCATGGTTCAGCCTGTCATCTATTTTGGAGAGGCTCCCTGAGCTAGGTCCTATGGAGAGTGTCAGATTAAAGAACCTTACAGGTTGGTGAGGCTAGAAGATAATAGAGCTATAAAGGTAGCAGGAGAACAAGAAAACACGGGTGCCAGAGAACAACTGTTCATAGTGGGACTTGGAGTGAGGTTGGGGACTCTGAGAAGGGAGATGAGCAGAGACAGAGCCTGGTGTGAAGCATGCTGGGTGAGTGGGCGATAGGCTCAGTTAACTGCACAGGGTCTGACTGTCAACTCAGAGGGGGTCCCCCTGAGGAGAGCTGATGTCCTATCCCTCACTCCCACCGGCAGTTCTGGTTACCTATGTCATAATTCTTCATGTTACAGAACCATGGTTAGCAGAGAGCAGTGGTGCGGAGAGCCCTTCCTGAGGGGCTGTGTCATGTGCTCGTGTTTCTGTGTTTCAGAGGAGAAGGTCCGCAGAGGATGAGCTGGCCATGAGAGGCTTCTTGCAGGAAGGCGACCTCATCAGTGTATCCTGCACCTTTGGTTCTCCTACAGGGCTGCAGCCATGCTTGTACTCCGTCTGGCCAGGGGACAGTGCCTTGCAGGGGCTGAGTCCAGCTCTGCTGCCACTGTGCTTGTTTTCTTTATCTCTGAACGATGCCCTGGATTTTGTAACTTGTGATTCATGGTGAAGATCCAATGGTCTTTCTTTCCTTTCTTATTATAAGGAGTACTAGGTTGGGTTGGAACTCACTGTGAACCTCAGGCTGGCTCAAATACCTCAGCTTCCTGAGTACTGAGATGGAGGCATGGGCCATCATTCTTCCTTGTGTCCAAATTAAGAAAATTAGGGTCCTTTCTTTATTTTAAAACATATTTGATCATATTTGTTTGTGTGTGCTCACTGTGTGTGGAGGTCAGAGGACAACAGGAGTTGGTTCTTTAATGGCGTGGATCTGGGGAAACAGAACTCAGCTTGTCAGGCTTGATGACAGCTGTGTACTCTCAGCCACCTCACCAGCCCTCAAATGATGCGAACATGTATCCATGGAAAGATTGTTTGTATCAAGATACTCTTGCCAGCCAGGGGGAAGCTGAGGTCATACTGATGTCCTCTATAGAGGTCCATCAAAGATTGCCAGAGTGACCTACTGGTGACAAGGTGGGGGGAGCTGGCTGCAGGCAGGTGGCACAAGTGTGGGTTGCCATGGCTACTGTTGTTCCTTCATTACATGAGTAGGCGGAGGTCCAGGCGGTGTTCTCGGATGGAGCTGTTTCTTTGCACACGAGGAGCCTGAAGTATGGAAAGGTAAGTCGGGCTTTGAGGCTTCGAGTTCAGTTCTGAATCCCCGTAGCTCCCTAAAGACCTAGTAGTTAGCTGGGTGTGGTATAGCTCCCTGGTGTGCTGACCTAAGGACCTGGTATTTAGCTGGGTGTGGTGTCATTGGCCTGTAATCCTGGAGGGCCCTGGAGGTTGAAGTAGGTGAATTAGAACTGGAAGCCAGCACGGGTTACACAGAGAGACTGCCTCTTCCTGTACACACACACACACACACACACACACACACACACACAGACATACACCTGTATTTAGATCAAAAAGCAACAACACAGAACCCAGTTATTTGGGACTAGTAGCCTGCTGGGATAGGGCAAAGGGCCATTGGTATCCTAAATCCCTTTCCTCCTAAGGAGCCTGTTCTGGTAGAGCCCCTCTGTTGGGGCTCTGAGACTCTGACTCTGGTCTTTCTGGGAGATGCTCAGCCAGCACTGAGAGGCTGGCTGCAGAACCATGTCTGCAGCGCAATCAGCATAAGTGCTAGCAGAGATGGTTTTCTCATCTGAGCCTCTAGATGAATTTTGCCTGTTTCTGTGAGGTTCCATTATTGAGATTTATTTTAAAGATAGCATGCTTCCTAGGACACATTAGGGCATCTGTGTTTCTTGGCTCATCATTTTCTGAGAAGAATAAAAAAGCAGTTTCCTTTAATAAAGTGGCAGCTGTCACCATGTTCCTGAACATGTACTTGTAGTAGGTAGGAGGAGGTGTGTGTGCTGACCTCCAACCTGGTGCTGTAGACACTTTCTTATTGTGTGTGAACTTAGAACTGACCTGTCAAGACCTGGCATGGCTTTGCCAATCCAGTGGACCACGTCTTATGGGTGGCATTGGAATCTGAAGTTAAGATCCAAACTAGAGCCATGGAGTGTATCTGTTATGTGGCCAGTGGGAGACTCCTCGTTGGCTCTGGTTTCTGTAATGGCCAGCACATGTGCTCTGGATTAGAAGCCAAAGGGGCCGGGTGGTGGTGGTGCACGCCTTTGATCCCAGCACTTGGGAGGCAGAGGCAGGCGGATTTCTGAGTTCGAGGCCAGCCTGGTCTACAGAGTGAGTTCCAGGACAGCCAGGGCTATACAGAGAAACACTGTCTCGAAAAACCAAAAAAAAAAAAAAGAAGGCAAAGTGAAGTGATGGAAGATTGACAGCTTCCTTCTTTTAATTAAAACAAGCTGCCTGGTGGTGGTGGCACATGCCTTTACTCCCAGCACTCAGGAGGCAGAGGCACATGGATCTCTGAGTTCAAGACAGCTTGATCTACAGGGTGAGTTCTAGGGCAGTCAGGGCTACACAGAGAAACCCTGCCTTGAGAAACAATAGATAGATACAGATGGGTGGATGGATGGGTGGACGGACGGACGGACGGACGGATGGATGGATAAGTGCATGCCCCATATGGCACATGGAAAGGTCGGAGGACATCTTGTACGACTTGATTATCTCCTGTGTGACTCCTAGGTATTGAACTCAGCTGGTCAGGCTTGACAGCACGAGCCTTTACCACCATCTTGCCAACCTGACTGCCACCTTCTCTGGGATGTGTAAATAGCTATGGGGCAGAACTGTTTTCTGCAAAGTGCATGCCGTCTGTGCACTGGGTGACTAGTGTCCACAGGAAGGACAGTGGTGGGGCACCGGGTTGTGCATTCTGAAGCCTAGTTGCCATTCATCTCACTGATTGTTTCTTCCTCTTTTTTTTTTCCCCAGTGGGTTGGGGGGCAGAGTTATATGGGGTCTTACTGGATTGCTCAGCTATCCGGGTATTAGTGAGCCTCTTGCCCCAGCCTCTCAGAGGCTATGCTCCCCCTACCTGGCTTCTGATCCATTTCCTTTTTGTTTGTTGTTTTGAGACAGGGTTTCATGTAGCCCAGGCTGGCCTTAACCCCCAAGTGCTGGAGTTATAGGCAGGTGCTTCTCTGCCTGTCTTATGGTCTGTCTCTTTAGCTAGGTCAGGGAGTTTTAGTCCAGGTCTCGCCTTCCCTGGTGAAGAGACAGAAGACTCATTTCCATGACTTGCCATGTGGTGCCTCAGTGATTCTGGGTAACAACGGTTTCATCTGGATCTACCCGACACCCGAGCACAAGGATGAGGACGCTGGGGGCTTCATTGCCAACCTGGAGGTGAGTAGAGGTCACTTTGGCATTTAGTAAGCGTTTTTTACCTACTGAGCCCTGTTGCCTTTTTATATATCAGTAAGTAGTCTTGTGCCACTTAGGATGCTTTCTGAGAAGTGCAGTGTTAGGTGAGTCTGTCATTGTAGAGCATTGTGAGGGAACTCATAAAGACGTTGCAGCATCTCAGCAGTGGTATCTTGGGAGTCCACCTGTCTGTGTTAGCTGCAGATGCCTGCAATGTGGCTTGTGGTTTGCTCACTGTCTGGTGCACTGCCTGCAGAAACTGCTGTGCTTTGAACAGGCCTGAGTTAGAGAGTATTTAAGAACACCTAAGAGTCTCCTTCCCTGAAGAGACAGACTCGGTGGCTTTGAGCTTGAGCTTTGTTGATGAATGTGGCAAAGTTGGCAGGGTAACAGGCAAACAGCCACTGCAGAAGTGATGGGCCTGTGGGGACGGCTCAGTTGGTAAAGGGCTAGCGTTGTGAGCAGGAGGACTAGAACCCAGGGGACAGTGTCAGGTGTGTTGGTGTACATGAAATCCCAGTGCTGAGGAGGTGGAGGTAGGAGGATCCTAGGGCTTGCTGATAAGACCCTGTCAAAGGAGGTGGGCGGCATTCTTAGGATGATGCTGGAAGCTGGGCCCTGACCTCCATGTGCATTTGAACTCACAAGCATATGCATACGTGAAGTTGTATGAAATGTGTACACATCTTAAAACATAGACAGTTCCACAGTTTGCTGTTTGGGGGATGTGAAGTTCCATGGTGGAAACGTGACCTCTCTAGTCTGTGGCTTCTGGGACTGTTTGCCTATTTGGATTCTGTTTGTACTTTTTTCCTTCCCCCTTATGTCCCTGTGTAGCCGGTATCCCTTAGTGACCGAGAAGTGATCTCCCGGCTTCGGAACTGTGTCGTCTTGCTGGTCACTCAGAGGATGATGCTGTACGACACCAGCATCCTGTACTGCTATGAGGCCTCCCTTGCACATCAGGTACCCAGACTCCTCTCTGTGCGTGCGTGTGTGCCACTCCTGTGTTTCTTTCCACTTTCCTTCCCATATCCAGTGGCAGGAACTGGCCTGGAGGCAACCTTAACGAGTCCCTGTCATGTTCTTGAGATATTTCCAGTATTCTCAATGTCTAGTCCCATGCTAGGAATTTGATGTAGGATAGGGATAACAGATAGGATTTTTTTTTTACCATAATAGCTTTCTACATTTATCATACCTGTCCCAAAATTCAGCCATCTTCTTCTTTTTTTTTTTTTTAACAGATTTTTCTTGATTAGAAAAAATTTATGTGTATGGGTGTTTTACCTGCATGTATGTATGTCTGTCTATATATCATGTGCATGCCTGGTGCCTGTGGAGGTCAGAAGAGAGCATCAGATCCCCTGGAACTAGAGTTACTAGCAGTTGTAAGCTGCCATGTGGTTGTTGGGAATTGAACCAAGGTCCTTTGGAAGATCAGCCAGTGCTCTTAACTTCAGAGCCATCTCTCCAGCCCTCAGGCATCATCTGATGGCTGACAGAACAGCTCTGTTGTCAGCTCTCCGAGAATACCTTGCTGGTTGGTTTCTAAGCTGGGTCTGGAGCTGGGACTGTGTGCTTGCTTGGGCTCTAGAGTGCAGATGCACAAGGTGTATGCTAGCCAGGCTTCATTCCCTCATTCTGGCTGATTTGATGGATATTTCTTTTATTTTTTTTTATTTTTTATTTATTTATTATATGTAAGTACACTGTAGCTGTCTTTAGACACCCATATGAGGGCACCAGATCTCATTGTAGATGGTTGTGAGCCACCATGTGGTTGCTGGGATTTGAACTCATGACCTCTAGAAGAGCAGTCAGTGCTCTTAACCGCTGAGCCATCTCACCAGCCCCTTGATGGATATTTCTGAATGAACACGTGCTGTTTTCTATATTTCTTCAGATCAAAGATATCTTAAAACCAGAAGTTATGGAGGAGATCGTGCTAGAAACCCGCCAGAGGCTTTTGGACCAGGAGGGATGAGGCCGAGAGCTGAAGGACGGGACTGTGCACCTCTCTGGAGCAGTTTTGGGAGTGAAAAGTCTGCTGTGTGATCCCCAGAGAGCAATTGACAAACACGTTACTCACCTGCAGCAGGGCTGCAGAGCCAGGCCTGTCCTCTCCTGTTCTGAGGCAAAGCTAGGGTGGAAGTAAATATGGTGGATTTGGGCGCTTGGGTCTCAGTATAAGGGGTGGATTTAAGTCTTTCAGAGTAGTATCCGAGCCTGATGACTTATCTTGGAATAACTTGGAGAATTTATGTCTTCCAATCACACCACACAATGCCCCATGAAACTATCTTGGTAGAAAACTTGGGGGGCTGGGGATATATCTCAGGGGTGGACCACTTCCTTTCTTTTTTTCTTTTTTTTTGGTTTTTCGAGACAGGGTTTCTCTGTGTAGCCTTGGCTGTCCTGGAACTCACTCTGTAGACCAGGCTGGCCTCCAACTCAGAAATCCGCCTGCGTCTGCCTCCCAAGTGCTGGGATTAAAGGCGAGCGCCACCACCACCCGGCTTGGTGGACCACTTCCTAACGTGCAAGTTCCCAGGTTCAATTTCCAGCCCTACTCTAATCCCAGAAAAAAGGAAGACAAAGCCAAAGACATGGCAGTGCCAGTGTGAATGGTCTCTTTCCACTTCCACTTGTCTCCTTTACTGCACAGTGTGTGGGTGGAGAGAAGGTGATGGAGTCAGGCCAGAGTCTAATGGATGCGAGAATAAAGGGAGCCAGCAGCCTCTGGTGGAATCTGAGTCCCACTGTGTGTTCTTTCTGCTGACAGATTCAAGGGGTCCATACCCTCTACCTGGGCTTCCTTCCTCTGTGTGAGCTGTCTGTTTCTTTAGCATCTCCGAGTCCTCCGTCAGCATGTCCACCAGCAGGAACTGGCCTCTGTTGTGCTTGACCTGCCTGTGAGAGTGTGTGAGCCATTGCTGGTAACAGAGAATGAGTGTTTGAACCAATAGTGTTTTTTGATGCTCTGACAAGAAAACAGAAACGGATTGGAACAAGCCAATGTTTCCATATGTAATTGACATGGTGATGTAGTAACTTTTTAGTAATAATTTAAAAGAGACAGGATACAAATCCTCTGCTTAGAGTGCCAGTCTCTATGCTTTGTTTCCATATGACTTTGTTTGTTTTTTGTTTTTTCTTTGAGACAGGGTTTCTCTGTGTAGCCCTGGCTGTCCTGGAACTCACTCTGTAGACCAGGCTGGCCTTGAACTCAGAAATCTGCCTTCCTCTGCCTCCCAAGTGCTGGGGGTTATGACAGTTTAAAACTGGCCTGGCCAGCATGGTAGCCAGGTCTGTGATCCCATATGGAGGCAGAAGCAGGAGCTGAGGCCGAGCTGGGCTACACAGAGAGTAGCTCAGTAACATTACCAGAAATGGTGCTCTGATTGGTACTTTTTCAGTTAACAGTATTGTTTTTCTTTCGCCTTTATTTCTGTGCATTGGTGTGAGTACATGTGTAGAAGTCAGGACTACTTGGAGGAGTCAGTTCTCTCTGCCATGTGGGTCCCAGGAGCATCATCAGGCTTGGCAGTAATCACTCTCACCCACTGAGCCATTAAACTGGCCCAAAACATTGGTTTTTACCGGGGCTAGGGATGGAATCTAGGGCCTTGTGTATACTCCTAGGAAAGGACATTACTGAGCACTGCTAGTTAATAAACTTTTAAAGAATTTCTTTGGATGCTGGGTATGGCGGATCTCTTGAGTTCAAGTCCAGTCTGTTTTACATAGCCAAGGTTACATAGAGATCCTGTTTCAAAAAAACGAAACAGCTGGACTGTGGTGGTGCACACCTTTAATCTCAGCACTCAAGAGCAGAGGCAGGCAGATCTCTGTGAGTTCGAGGCCAGCCTGGTCTACAGAGCAGGTTCGAAGACAGCAAGGGCTACACAGAGAAACCCTCTTTCTTTCTTTCTTTCTTTCTTTCTTTCTTTCTTTCTTTCTCTTTCTTTCTTTCTTTTTGGTTTTTGGAGACAGGGTTTCTCTGTGTAGCCCTGGCTGTCCTGGAACTCACTTTGTAGACCAGGCTAGCCTCAAACTCTCGAACTCAGAAATCTGCCTGCCTCTGTCTCCCAAGTGGTGGGATTAAAGGCGTGCACCACCACCGCCTGGCAAGAAACCCTGTTTCAAAAAAAAAAAGTAAAGCCCCCAAATAATGAGAGATCATGTGGGCATTTCATAAGTGTATAGTTTATTTTGATTGTGTCCATCCCCACTTTTCCAGGTTCAGCTCCAAAAAGTCCCCCTTCCAACTTCATTTCTATTTATCTTTATTTTTATTTCCTTTTTGGTGACAGGCTCTTTCTATGTAGCCCTGGCTGCCCTGGAACTCACTCTGTTACCCAAGTTAGCCTCAAACTCACATGAGATTCACCTTTGCCCTGCCTCTCCTCAGTGCTGGAATTAAGATGTACCTGGCTTTTTGTCTTTATTTTTTACTATTTTAAATAACCTAGGGAGTCTAGCTAGCTCTGCCCAGTCAGTCATGGTGGCAGGAGCTTGTGGTAGCTGGTTACATTGTATCCAGGTCAGGAAGCAGGAATGCCAATGCTTGGCTTTCTCTTTTGTACCCAGCACAAACTCTAGCTAGTGAAATGGTGCTGTCCAGTTAGGGCGGTTCTTCCCACCTCACGCCAGTCTAGGAGCTCAACAGAACAACAGTCTGGAGGCCGTTTCCATGGTGATTCCAAAACCTATCATGTTACAATCAAGATTAGTTATCACACAACACCAGTCAGTAGACAACTTTGTGTATGTGTGTTTTTGAGACAGGGTCACAGATGACAACTTTTAATTTAACCTCTATTTGAGGGATCCACAGGTAACTCAATTCCCTGAATCTGTACTGCAATTTCAGGTGGGCTTGCCTGTCACAAATTTTGGAAGTTCACAGGTTGTTCACCTGTTAAGGGACTGGGAATGGGAGTCTGAGTCCCACTTAAACTCCTTACCTGTTTCTCCCAAGCTGCTGGCAAGACACTGAAAGTCTGCTTCAAGGCAGCTCTGCAGAGATCTGTGCTTTTATAGCCCAGCAGAGGGCACTGTTGGTAAGTGTAACTACAGTGGGCTGTAAGATTTAAGCTGAAATTTTGTTACTGAGCTTTGCTTTATGATAGTAAGGACAAAATTAGATTGAGTTGAACTACTTTTAATCCAGGTTGTATAAGCTGTACAAGATGCATCAAACATTGGTTAAAAGCTGGGCTGTGGTGGCGTGTATATGCCTTCAATTCTAGCACTTGGGAGGCAGAGACAGATGGATTTCTGAGTTCCAGGCCAACCTGGTCTATAAAGTGAGTTCCAGGACAGCCAGGGTTGTTACACAGAGAAACCCTGTTTTGGTAAAACCAAACAAACAAAACCCATTGGTTTAACATTCTATCAGATACTTGCTGCATTCTGCATTCTGCAGTTTGAACCCTTAAAGGTTTTCCAGTGTTAAGTATGGTTAAGTAGTGTATCTTGCTTGTTTTTCATGGTACCTCCTAAGCAGTCAGCTGGGAATGATGGTGACTATCTCCTTCCCAGCCCGGAGTCATCAGAAACTCATTGAACTGGATGGTGAACACAAGCTTCGTACTTTTTAAAAAAGATTTCTTTGTTTTATATATGAGTGTACTGTAGCTGTCTTCAGACACACCAGAAGAGGGCATCAGATCCCATTACAGATGGTTGTGAGCCACCATGTGGTTGCTGGGAATTGAACTCAGGACCTCTGAAAGGACAGTGCTCTTAACCACTGAGGCATCTCTCCAGTCCAAGTGTCTATTTTCTGAGACGCGTATGGCCACAGAAGTAGCTGATGCTCTGGGGGAGGAATGGAGGGTTATGTGGTCAGACTCAGTGGTGGGAACAACAAACAAGGTTTTCCCATGAAGCAAGATGTCTTGACCCACAGAGCACCAGCTGTAGAGTAAGGGGCGTTCCTGTGAGAGACCAGGGAGGACTGGAGGGGGAAGTGCAAGTCTGTTTTCATTCCTGTAAGAAAAACAGGAATGGCCGGGCGGTGGTGGCACACGCCTTTAATCCCAGCACTTGGGAGGCAGAGACAGGCGGATTTCTGAGTTCGAGGCCAGCCTGGTCTACAGAGTGAGTTCCAGGACAGCCCAGGCTATACAGAGAAACTCTGTCTCGAAAAACCAAAAAAAAAAAAAAAAAACAGTAATGAAGACTATCCACGGGCTGACACATCCTACCGTACCTTGGTTATTGGGTCCAAAAGAGCTAGCAGAATCTGAAAGCTTTTTAGTATCAAAAGATGATTCCCACCATTGTTAGAAAGCCCATGAAGAAGGAAAGAAGCTCGGGACCAGAGCACCCAAGACTCAGTGCCCAGTTCTTCACTATCCTGCAGCATAAGCATCCATGCATTGTCTTGAAACAACAGTATGCTAAGAAACACCAGGATTTTAGCTGCAGGATATGCTCAACTTTTGGCCAAGAGAATGAAGGAGACCAAAGAAAAACCCCAGGAACATTTCCAGGTGATGTAGGCTGTCCTCACTGAAAGCTTCTGAAGTCAACAATAAGTCTTTAGGAGGAATTGATAAGCTGGATAGTGGTGGCACACACCTTTGATCTCATCACTAGGGGGGCAGGCAGGCTGGCGGATCTCTGATTTGGGAGGCCAGCCTAGTCTACAGAGTGAGTTCCGGGATAGCCAGGGCTACCCAGAGAAACCGGTTCTGCCTCAAACAAAAGAGAGGAACAAATAACCAAAAGTAATACATCTCTTGGAAGAGAATTACAGATGGGGCTTGGAGCTCATCTGAAAGAAAACAGGATGAGAGCTGATGGCGTGGGATAAGGCTGCCTACTGCACAGCCCTGCAGTGAGGACAGCGAGGCAGAGCTGAGGCTGGGAGACCAAGGGCAAAATCATCTCAAGACTACCAGACAGTAGCAGTGTCCCTTGCTTTTAGACGAGGAAACCAATTTAGGGGAAGAAAATGACAGGAGTCCCAGGCAACTGAATGAAGGACGGATTGCAGCTTTAAGAGGGTGCCACAGCCAGGTCTGAGCATAGGGCAAACCAACTGAAAGGCTGTGGACCCAGGAGTGTAGGTTGCTGCATGGAGACTGAATGTATTTCTAAAGGTGTATGGGTGTTTTGTCTGCTTGTATGTCTGTGTACCATGTGGTATGCCAGGTCCCCTCCAAGGCCAGCAAGGGCATCAGATCTTTTTGGAATCAGAGTTACATGTGGTTGTAAATTGTCATGTGGGTGCTGGGAATTATAACCTGGGTCCTCTGGAAGAGCAGCCAGTGGATTTAACAGCTTAGCATCTCTGCAGCTCCCAAACTGATCTTTGGATCACTGCTTGTTTTGCCAACTGACTGCCTGTTCCTTCTGTCCCAGAGAGTAAGATAGCCCTACTCAATGCTGTACGCCAACAGCAGGAACAGGTGCTTAGGAGATGGGTGCTCACTGCCAGAACTGGTGGTGTAGCCGCTTTGGTACTTGCCTACATTCTTCAGGCTCTATGTTCCAACCCTAGCACTACTTAAGCCCAGTTTAGTAGAACAAACCAGTAACCCTGACCCTTTTGAGCTGGTTGTAGAGAGATCAGAAGTCCAAGGGCACTCTCAGAGATTAAGGGCCGCCTGGCTGGAAGTTCTCTCAAAACCTAAATCTGACTAATGTTAGTCAAGAACTATTTATTGAAGAGTTGCAATCAAGAGGACTTACTACTTTTACAAATGTTCTGGTTTGGTGTCAAGCTCTTAACCATGTCCGA